TTGTCCAACTCCATACACTCAGGTAAAGCGATATAATGGCAAATCTCGGCTGCTTGATTGTTTAAATGTAAACTGTATTATTATTGCACAGCTTTATTTTATATATATATATATATATATATATATATATATGTGTATATGTATGTATATGTGTATATGTATATGTGTATATATGTATATATGTATATGTGTATGTATGTATATATGTATATGTGTATGTATGTGTATATATGTATGTATATATATATGTGTATATGTATATGTATATGTATATATACAACTTTATCCGTACACATACAGTATATTCACGTACAGCATTATTTTTACTTTATTTTATCGTAAAATATGTATTATGTATTATTGCACAGCTGTTTATATAAAGTTGTATGTGTATATATGTCCAGCTTTTTCTGCATACATGCAGTATAATTGCATTGGGCAATATATACTATGTAGCATATCTCTGATTGTATTGTTGAAAAATGTGAACTATATTATCGCCTGGCTCTAATCTGCTAATTGCTAATGATATAAGAATTAACATCATGATTTTCCATAAAGCTGCTTTGAAACTGTGTATTATGAAAAAAAAAAAAAGCAATATCCAAATTAATTTGACTTTGTCTTTATCTCTGTCTTCTAGTCGGGAGACCTATAATGCTCTGACTAACTGGCTGACAGATGCACGGACACTGGCCAGCCCCAACATCGTCATCATCCTGTGCGGGAATAAGAAGGATCTGGATGCGGACCGTGAGGTCACCTTCCTAGAGGCGTCTCGCTTTGCCCAGGAGAACGGTTAGAGCTGCTCTTAAGGCATAACACATTTGTAGCTATAGTCCAAAATGACTTTTTTTTTCTTTGCCTGTTTCTACCTAACAATGTGACACAACATCAATTTTCTCTTGCTTCTGGCACCTGTTTGTCATATATCTAGAGAGATCTGTTTGTATTCATAAATCATAAGTGTCCAAACAGATGTGTGCCGCTGCAGAGAATGCGCTTCTCTTCCTCTCTGTTGGGTTTTTATGAGCGGCTCATTTACGAGCTCTTCTGTGTTGATCACAGGAGTGCTGTAGACATGGTTAAAGACCATAAGTTGGTTCTTGCTGATGATGCTCTTCACACTAAAGCACCCTCATGTAACTGACACTTAGCGAGCCTGATAACAGGTGTCCATATGGACTGATACAACACAAAAGCGTTTGGAGCATTATCAGATGGTTGATTTTGATGTGTTAGCCTGACTCTGTCCTCCACTCAGAGCTGATGTTTTTGGAGACAAGTGCTTTAACCGGGGAGAACGTAGAGGAAGCCTTTCTCATATGTGCTCGTACCATCCTCAGTAAGATTGAGTCGGGTAAGTGAAAACTGCACTGCCAAGACATTATGGTATTAGTTTACTACTACTTGGCAAATGTAGCCTAAATGCATTTGTTAAGCTTCAACCCAGCCATCATAGTGAAGGAAATAAAGTTTAACACCGTAAAGTCTGACACATGAAATAACAGTAAGAAATGTCACATTTTTGAAACCGAATAGTTTAACCTTGAGAACAAAAATGCTTGCTTATGTTTTTGTTGAGTATCATATTTGATACATCTGGTTTTTATGGCTCATATAGGAGAATATATGGCCAAAATTCTCATAATGTAAATCAGTGAAGTCTATATAACTAAATAACAGACTATATAAATAAAATGCATATAAATATCAATTGTCACTCTTCATCAATCTGCCAGTGATGTCTTAGTAAGATTTTACTTAGTTTTATGATCAACTCTAGTGTAAAGTAGTTTTTATTGTGGGGGTAATGCAATACAATAATAATTAAGAAAATGTTCTTCAATAGCCTGATGCATCATATTTGATATTCACAGTTTAACATCATTTTTCTAAAATTTGATGTATGGATAAGTAAGTAAACCTAAGCTGCTTCAGTCCAGTAAGTGTTCATCTTGAAATATTATTATATTATTTTTATCATGTTTATAATTTAAAAACCTTAGAAATGTGTTTATCACATATGATAAAGCAGGCTTTATAGAGTTGAAGCTGTGTGTTCTCTATGTGCTCATACAGGTGAGTTGGATCCGGAGCGGATGGGTTCTGGGATCCAGTACGGCGACGCATCCCTGCGGCAGCTCAGACAGCCCCGGGGCTCTGCTGCACAGGCCAGGCAGCAGTGTAACTGTTAGGGGCCCGGACACCCTGACCGCTGCCTGACATCAGACCATACACACACACACAACCTCCCCCCTCAGGTCAGTTTAACACTTTCATATGACTGGGTTATATCAGGATTACTTTCTATGAAAGATTAAAAGGAACATTCTGGGATTACTGCAAAAAAACAATTGACATCCTCTGACATAAAAAAAAAGTTACAGTATATACAATAAATAGTGCACTTTATTGAGATGTTTCCATCAGACATTAGACGTTCTGCTGACTCTACCAAACTTTGCAAGCATTCCAACTTATTCAACTAACCCTAACTCTAACTCTATCCTAACAGTCTACTCTAATTAGAGTTAGTTGACATATGTAGTTGCATTACTTAGTCAACATAATTTCTAAAGGGGACAATCAAAATAAAGTGTATCTTGAAAGTCTATGGCGCAATACATTACACGGGGATAAATGTTAAAATACATACTGTTATCAATGTATAATTACAAGATTTAAGCATTATATGTGTTCAGGTTCATCCACATTACAGTTCAAAGGATTATTATATGTGACCCTGGAGAACAAAACCAGTCTTAAGTCGCTGGGGTATATTTGTAGCAATAGCCAAAAATACATTTTATGGGTCAAAATTATCAATTTTTCTTTTATGCCAAAAATCATTAGTATATTAAGTAATGATCATGTTCATGAAGATATTTTGTAAATTTCCTACTGTAAATATATCAAAACTTAATTTTTGGTTAGTAATATGCATTGCGAAGAACTTCATTTGAACATCAAGATTTTCATCCAGATTTTCAAATAGTTGTCAAATATTGTCCTATCCTAAAAAAGCATACATCAATGGAAAGCTTATTTATTCAGCTTTGTACGATTTTTACGTTTTGTGTACCAGGGTCACATATTATAAATAAGTCTATTATGCTCACTGAGGCTACATTTATTTGATCACAAATACAGTAAAAACAGTTAAATTGTGAAATGTTATTACGATTTAAAATATCTGTTTACTATTTGAATATATTTTCAAATTAATTTCTGTGATGGCAAAGATGAATTTTCAGCAGCCATTACTCCAGTCTGGCGTGAACGCAGCTCCTTGTAATATGCTCATTTGACACTTAAGAAACAATGCTGAAAACAGTTGTGCTGCTTGACATTTTTATGGAAACCCAGATACATTTTTTTAGGATTTTGATGAATGGAAAGTTCAAAATAACAGCATTTATTTTGGGAAAAAAAAATATTTTGTAGTGTGTTAAATGTCATTACTGTTATTTAATTGTTGATTTTTTTTTTTTTTATTTATTGTGTTTTTTAAATTGTACTGACCCCAAACTTTTTAATGATAGTATATGATCATATGATATTTATATATTTAAAATGATTGAAGGTAATTGTCTGTTCCTCACAGATAGAGCTTAAGATTTTGTTGGAATGAATAATAATACCGTTAAGTGTTCTTTCTCTTTTTCTTTCAGCTCCGGGTGTCTCTGGGTATGCACGCCCCTTACCCCTCTCCCAAATGTGACCCTTCCACACCCAGACACATCTGGATAATTTCTTATGAAGTCCATCTGCAACCTTTGACCTCTGACCTCAGAAAGCTGTTCACCTAGGACAGATCTCCCTGACTGCTTTGCGCTGGGCTGGGAGACCCCTAGCGAGGGGCACGGGCAGTAGAGGTGAATCACGTCCCGACTGAGAGACTGTGCGTGTTTTTAACTTCTCCTGTGATTCTTACACACACAGTTCCTTCTTTTAAAGTAACCAGCCATCATCTAGACTTCACTAGACTGGGATAAACCATTCAACGACAGCAGATGAAAAATTCCTAGCTCTTAAACTAGATATTGTTGAAGCATTTTATACATTGTGACATATCAGAACTTTGTTGGTGTTAAACTGAACGTCCCCTTGATTTTGTTTCAACAAAATATGATCAGAAAGCCAAATTACAGCTCTTAAACCCCTTATACACTCAGATATTTACCCTGTTGCATTGGTCATGCATTTAAAGAGCTTCTGAAAGCACAAAGGAGGTGAAGGGGAGAAAGAAACATCCGTTCAGATCTTGTCATTCGGTCTGCGCTATCTGGCGCATATCAGATGTTTTCCGCCATCTCAGTCTGGCTTGGGTTAGAGGTTATCCTTTAACTTAACCTCACCCATCTTTCTGCACAGACCTCCAACCTTCCTATTGAAATTAAGGACAACAAATCTTGTAAATTTTGTTCTTATTTACATTTCGCATTTGTTTGGCAGAGACGTATAGAAATATAAAATAATACATTTGTTTAGAGATTGGTGGTTTAAAAATGTATTTCACGAAATGCCAAAAAAAAAAAATTTACGTACAAAAATAATAGATTAAATTGAAACTTTTGGAGTCTGAATGGGTGAATCTCCCAAAAATTCAAGAACATGTTCGTTATATTTCACCCTGAATTTAAAAGAATTAAATTATAAATAACATGTTTCCTAAAGAAAATAAAGGTTACTTTTGGACAATTAAGATTTTGGAAATTTTGACTTTGACAAGCACATTTCCTTCCAAATTTTCATTACTAGAATGTAAAAAAAATGATCAAATAAATTATGCTGATTTTAAAATATTTTATTATTAGATTATAGTAGTAATTTTCAGATAAAAAAATGTCACAATGCATAAAAAAAAATTATGATAGCAAAATGTCGTAATTTTTTTTGGGGTGAAACTGCACCCAGACATTTCTTTTTTTTGAGATTCAACCCTGATGTTATTGAGTTGAAGTCACGTAAAAAGTGTACACCACAAGTTATATTGTTAGAATGGAAGAATATTTCCGTGCAGCAACCAGCTCAGACCCATCAGACTGCAACATTCATCGTACACTGTAGCTGTGGTGTTTAGTCGCACATATTTTGGGTTGATTTGTTCTTTGTTTGCCCTGGTTACCCACGACATGGAGATCTAGAGATGATGAGTGGCGCAGTGCCCTGTTCCCTCAGTGACGTCATCATTATGCACCACAGACAGACCTGTTTTGATCGGTTTTAAATACTGTCTATGTGATGTTTGGTTTTTTTCCCTCTGCAAGTGCACTTTTTTTGACTGTTTATATACTGTACCTATAGAATTGTAAAATTTATAATAATTTAATTATATTAAATGAGAGAATATTGTTTTGAGGAGTGATCATTCCTTACTAAAGAACAACTGAGACTAGTCCGACACCGTTTCAGCGGTAAGGAGTCTTCTTGCCACCTTAGCTGTGGACAAGAACATGCTGTTAGTCGTAAATGTGGGGTGGGTGATCGCCATATCTCTTCTAGTTCAAGCACAGCCTTAACTAACTAACCACATGATTGTTCTACATCATTCAAGAGGCTGCCTCATGCTCTCATAATCATCTGAGCTCTTAAAATGCACTTATACTGTTACATTTCCTTCATTCCACCTTTCTTTTTTTTTTTTTTTTGCTCCACTGTGATCACTTTTACCAAATGTTGTGTCTAACTTATTTAAACTATTTTTATCCAACAAAATTTAGACTCAAAGGAATATTCCGGGGTAAATAGATGTTGCAATATAAGCTGTGGTCACTAAACTTGGAGCAAGCAAAATTTCTATGGATATTGTATCATTCGTAATATATCACATCACACTCTGCGCAATCTGCAAAAAAGTAATTCAAAATATATCTACAATGAAAAAATATGCAATCTATTCCACTTTTGCTACAATGCAGATTTAAAGTAGTTTGTTCTTTCTTTTAATTCAGCTAAGAGGTCACAATCAAACTTGAACTCTGAACGCCGCGAAATTCACATGAGCTTACGTTTTCTGTCTCCCGCATTGGCATGCTTAAGTTGTGTTTAATGGTTTAAAAGTCAGTTTAATAGGAATCCACGCAATCGTTAATTTCATGAGAGCGAAAGATTTCTCCAGGCAGATTTCCCAACTGGTTCCAGTTGGTTATGTGGATTTGCCACATTGACCAGCCAAAAGCTGATTGGTTAAAAAGTGTTTTCTGTATGAGCTGTGCTTTCTACTTGCTAATGTGACCACATCTTCTTTAATGGAAGTCAATGGAACGAAAAGTGTAGTTTGACCACCCCCCCCACAGTATTTTTTTTTTTCTATTTTATGTTTTAAAGTGCACATTTACCTTAATTTCAATAGGAATTTGTGCGATTGGGAGTTTTTCGCAAGCAGATTTTGCTCACGTTCAAATTAGTCACATGAAATTACCATGATGACCAACAGAGGGCTGCTTGGTTTGAAAGTGACTTTTGTGTGACTTTTGCATGATGGCTACACTTGACAATGGAAAATTTACAGTTGTTTGCTCAAATTTTGTGGGCCAAAAAACTGTCCATTTTCGACTTCCTGAATGTGACCGCACCTTTACAGTGTAAGTCTGTGGGGCAAGTGTTGTTTTTTTCTACATTATTTTTTATGATTAATTAACAGCATGTCACTGATGTTGCCCATTGAGCTCAGCGTCTTTGACCTGGAATATTCCTTTTGGTACCGATATTAGTGGGTTTGAAACTGTCCCCTTAAATTTGCAGGGCGATGCTTTGCTTTGTATGGTCCCATTAAAAAATGTTACATGGTGTTAAGAAGGGCGATCACAATTATCATTGCTTGGCAAAATTTTACTGAGCGAAATCCAGCCTTTTCAATAGGAATCTGCGTGATAGGGAGTTTTGTGTAAGGGCAAAAAAGTTCCCACACAGATTTTGTGGTAACACTTTACAATAAGGTTCCATTAGTTAATGTATTAACTAACATGAACAAACAATGAACAATACATTTATTACAGTATTTATTAATCTTTGTTAATGTTAGTTAATGAAAATACAGTCGTTCATTGTTAGTTCATGTTAATTCAGTTAATTAAATACAGAGTTCTGGCATGAAACTCTAGATGGCGCAGTCCGATAGGTCTAACTCAATCTGACGTAATGACATCATTATCACATGGCAGCTGATAGGTTCTCTCCTGTATCAGTAGCCAATGAGCTCGCTGCTCAACATTCAAATATATGACTAGAGCTGTCGTAGCCGTTGCATCTTGCTTCAGAAACCCTCCACCTTCCCCAGCTCCACCTGTATAGATCTGCTACGATGTATTCATGTATGCTGGGGGTTATTTCATGTATGTTATATTTGCAGCAGCAATATTTCTTACATGCTCACAGCAGCATGTTGTGGATGTATTGGCAGTAGCAAGTCTCGGTACTTGCTCTGCCGCAGCAGCAGCATAGCAGATCTATTCCGCCAAGACCAAATACATTAACATTGTCATGTACATTACCATGCCAATCCCTCCGAGAGTTGTCATGACAGAACTAATGTTAACAAGCACAACTTTTGATTTTAATAATGCATTAGTAAATGTTATAATTAACGTTAACTAAGATTAATAAATGCTGTAGAAATATTGCTCATTCTTAGTTCATGTTAACTAAAGTATTTAACTAATGTTAACTAATGATCCTTATTGTAAAGTGTTACCGATTTCGCATGCGTAGTCTTGCCGTGTTGACCAACAGAAAGCTGTTTGGCTTGAAAGTGGAGTCAGGTATTTCTACACTATTGACAATGAACAACTGACTGTTTTTACTCATAGCATCTGTTAGCCAATGCAGTGAATTTGAGTGACCAAACTTGAACAAGAGTGAAATCTGCATGTGTAACTTTTTGCCTTCATGCTGAAGTCCTGTTACACAGATTCCTTTTAAAATGACTGGATTTTAACTATTTGTGCCAGGCGAAATTTACCGTTCGGGGTTTTTTGTTTTTTGGCGAAATCCAGTCATTTCAATTGGAATCCACTTTATTTGGAATTTTGCATGATGGCAATATTTCCCCACGCAGATTTCGCACCTGTTTCAAGTGGGTCACACAGTTTTGCTGTGGTTTGAAAGTGACTCTGAAGTTGACCATTGACAGCCGACACTGTATTTTTTTTGCCCGCGAAAATTCGCTAATGTGACCACGCCTTTAGAACAGCTCCACTGCCTGAGCCAGATGAAATTCAATGGCTGTTGTAGTGGAGTTTGGTAGCATTTCATAACCAGATATCAATATGGAGTGCATTTGAAGAGTAGTTCAAAGTACTGCATACAACCAGTTGTTGCTTAGTAACCAGTGTGATTTATTCATTCATAAATACTGTATATCTGAATCATCTATGCTGTAAATAAAATTGAATTTGTTTATCGGAGTGTTTGGGGGAGGGGTGCTTGTTCATTTTAAAGATTAATTAAAGTTTGCTTGTTTTTTATGTTATGTGAATATGTCGTCTTTCTGTGGTCTCAGGAGTGTGTGACCGTGAGCAAGTTGCCATTTCACCTTTTTGTTCTTTAACAAATGCTGTTTATTCAAATTAGAATCCAATTATCTCTAGGTGACAGATGCATAAAACGTGACATTCACAAGTAATTAAAATCCCTAACCCTAGCTGCATCCCAAATGACGCACTATACACTATGCACTCATACACTATGTACTTACGCACTATGTACTCAACCATGTATAGTATGAATTATATAAGGTTATTTTGTCATTCATAATCGGAGTCTGATAGCCCCTCCCCCTTCGGTACGTAATTAAATCTGCGACAATTGAGTGCATGAAGTGTCCAACATTCCACACTTCATTTTTTCGGTTATTTAAGTACATCATCCAGGTATTTAAAGTGCACTTTTTCTTTCTGGAATTTTCAGTGTGAATGCACTACTCGCACCATTTATACTACTAAACGTCATAGAATAGTGCATAAGTACGCGATTTGGGACGCACCTATACACTATGCACTGTGTACTCAGCCATGTATAGTATGAATTATATAAGGTTATTTTATAAGTATGCGATTTGAGATGCACCTCCTGTCTCGTGAGAAAATGTAACTATTTTAAGAGGTGGTGATTTCGTATGAGTTCATACGATGTGATTTGTATGGAAACATGATTTCTGAATGAAAGCAAGCAAGCATGAAGGTCCACTCCTAAAACTAACTGTCATTAGGCCTTGAGCAGATTATATCAAAATATATAAGATTTCATACAAATTAGCCACCAAAACGTAACAGTTACTAATTGCTTTGAGAGTGTTGCATAGTCCTGCAGTTCCAACAGAATCTGGTTTAGAGCATTAAAGACTAGTTGAAGGTCTGGTCTACAATCTACTTAATCTGGTTTTGAGAAAATTTAAGATGAGAGTAAGCGTTAAAAAATGGCAGTAATTCTTATTGTTGGTTAAGTAATACAGCCTTAAATGTAATAAATTCGTGTTTATGTGAAATTTATATATTTTAATGAATAATACATTTTAGTGATTAAATATTTCTGTCATTAGTTAAAAACAAATTCTCGTAATTTTACATTTTTACATAATTGTTCCATTGCACATTTAAAATACAGTTCTTCCATTTTAAAGAGCGAGTTTGATCATGACATTTTTTTTTTTTTTGCAGTCACATGATTTAATGTGTACATTTTCCTACAATAAAAAAGCACACAGACCTGTCAAATTAATGGTGTTAAATGTTAAAACAGTTTATTTAATCTTTAGTTAGAGCATCAGTTTGTCATTGGCATTTTTATCAATCTCACAAACCACCTGTATTTTATGGAGTGACATTTAATATATATATATATATATATATATAGGAACAAGTTAATTTAATGTGCATTAAAACTTTATTTTTAATTTACTATTTTATTGCTTTGACATTTTAAAACATGAATTAAAATGTCTATTAATGTGTCCATTTAAAAAGATTTATTTCCATTCTTATGTTTTAAGTATTAAAT